CCGGCAGGGCGCAGAGGGCGGCCCCAGCGGCGGGGGCATGCAGGCGGCGGCTCCCCCTTCGTCGCAGCCGCACCCGCAGCAGCTCCAGGAACAGGAAGAAATGCAGGAGGAGATGGAGAAGCTACGAGAGGAGAATGAGACTCTCAAGGTGAGGAGCTCGGGGTGCCGACTGGGGGAGGGGAGGCGCGGCGCGGGCCTCCGAGGATTAGGGCGTGTCCTGGCCGGGTGAGAAGCCGCTAACCTGTTAGGGAGCTTTAAAGAACAGGCAATAGGGGCGGGGGTTCGTAGGCCTTGTATGGGTTTGAAACAAAACCTGATATTATTGACGTTAGGTTTTCATTTAAATATAAAATTGGGCCTTCAGTTCTCTGATTATCATGGTTTGCCCCACTTTTGCATGGAGAGACCTAGAGTAAGAGCGAGTGAAGGCCTAACGTGTCTGTCTAGTTCTCCTTCATTCCGCTCCTGTCACTCCAGTCTCCTCGGGGATAGGGGCAATAAAGCTGAGCATTTGGAGTTGAGATGGGGAGTGCACGCGGTAGGTCACAGGGGCTGGGGAAGAGGCTGATTTTGACTCTCGGCCTGTCACTTCCTCAGAACGAGATCGATGAGCTGAGAACCGAGATGGACGAGATGAGGGACACTTTCTTCGAGGAGGATGCCTGTCAACTGCAGGAAATGCGCCACGAGTTGGAGAGAGCCAACAAAAACTGCCGGATCCTGCAGTACCGCCTCCGCAAAGCCGAGCGCAAAAGGCTCCGCTACGCGCAGACTGGGGAGATAGACGGCGAGTTGCTGCGCAGCCTGGAGCAAGACCTCAAGGTCTGCGGCGCGGGGACTCCACACCGCGCGGGGCAGGGGCAGGGGCAGGCGCAGGCCCAGGGGCAGGGGCAGGGGCAGGAGCGGTGGGTGGGGGCTGGGTCCAAGGGCTCTCGATGCTGAGAGGCCTTCGGTGGTGACTGGCCAAGAGTCCTAGGGACACTAAGTTTCGCAGCGATGACCACAAAATGTCAGGGTCCTGGACGAGGAAGAACTGACAGGTGGGTTTAAAGAGCCCGGTGTGTGGAGAACATGGCAGAGAACACGCTCGCTGGTCTCCGGGTAGTAACTGGCTTTTCCAGAGGTGGTGGGAAGAGGGCGCCTCGCTCCCTGGAGTAAGGGAGCCAGGGAGCTAAGGCTCCGGCCTTGACTGGGCCTCCAGAGTCAGTCTGCGGAGTGAAGGCGCATAGGATAGTTCTCTAGGCCAGGGCGGCGAGGATTCCTCCTGAGGAGTTGAAACTCAGAATAAGAACAGCACTGAAAGAGATCATTGTTAGTATTTCTCTCTGCAGTCTCTGTCCTCAACCCCTTCTCCAAGGACTCTTTCCTCTCTGTACTTAACCACTTTGGTAACTCCCTTAAGGAGAACTGTCCAACTTGTGCCTGTCTGGAGAAGTAAGGGTAGAGGGCAGTAAGTAAATGAGGCTCATTCTTCAAGTGAAGTCGCTCCTTCCAAGTCGCTCCTTCCAAGTCGCTCCCAGCGGAGAAATCCAACCATGAAGTGTGGTTTTTAGACAGGTGTGATCCCTTCATTTCAGTTTGACTTAGGCAGATTCATTGACAATGTAAGCCATATAAAAAGTTCATCTCCTTAGACAATCAAATAACTGTATTTTAATTGTATTAACTCCATCAATTCAGAAAAATCAAATGTAATATCCTATATTGGCTTCAGAGAAAGTTTTGAGAAAATATTTTGTGATGGCTATTGTACTACCTTTTTATTTTCTTTTCCTAACATTTGTTGAGTGCTTATTATCCATCAGGCATTGTGGCAAGCATTACTACACACAGTATTGTTTCATTGATTTACAAGGAAAAAACTCCGTAAGGTAGGGATTAATGGCATTATCTTACAGATGCAGAAGCTGCACATTTTGCAGAGATGAAGGGTGTAGACCTGGAATCCAGTCTAAAGCCAGCCTGTGTCTTGCACCTTTATACTAGATCGCTCCTTCTTTTTATTCAAACCCTAAAATGCCCAGGATAATTTCAAAATGTGGGGCAAAATGCACACTATTACTCAAAAAAGAAAAAAAATCTCAAGGACTAAGATATTTCCTAAAATTAAGCATCTGGAATTCTACTTATAAGACCAGAATTCAAGCCCTACTCCTCACTTGTAAAACTTCTTTCTCCATTTTTTATCATAAATGAAAATGGAAGCCTCTACTTTATAGTTTTATTGTAGCATTAGAGGAAATATGTGAAATTTCTCTACATAGTGACAGAAGGTATTGGAGCATTTATTACCACCATGTAGAATTTTTTTTAAAGAGAGATTTTTGCTATAGGGCACGTGTGTTCACTGGAGAGACAGAAAGTGAGAAGTCTCCCTGTCAGGGATGGCCATGCCACAATCCCTTCTCCTCCTCTCAGGATTCTGGGCATGCCCAAAATGAGTTTCAAGCCTCCAGGTCAAGTCCTCCATGACTTGAACCATGATCAGTCATGTGGGAGTCTAGCAATGTAACTATTACCCCATCTGCTGGTCTCACCACCACGTATAATTTAAAGAAACAAAGTCTAGAGCCAGAATTTCTGGTTACTTGTTAGCTGTGTCATTTGAGCATAATACTTCACTTTTCTGAAACCTAGCTTCTCCATCTATAAAATAGGAATAATAATAATACCTATATTGGATACTGTCGTTAGGGTTAAATACTTCCTATTGTGAATAGCTTATATATAAAACATTTGGAACACTCTCTGGCATGTGGTTAGCACTATATGGATATCAGTTGTTTAAATTTTTTTTATTTGCTATCAATTATGTGTGCAAGAGAGAGAGAGAGAGAGAGAGCACCCACTCCCCACAGGAGATGGCCATGCTTCAATCTCTTCTCCTCCACTCTCCTCCCAAGATTTTGGGCATATATGCACATAATTCTGGCATGTTTTTTCAAGCCACCAGGTAGGAACTCAAACCATGTAGTCAGCTGTGTGGGAACCAGCTACATTAACCAACACACCACTGGCTGGTCCTCAATATCACCTCGTAATACTCTCAGTATGATTAAAAATGTAGTGCATTTATTATAGTGTTTTAATGATATTTTACTATAAACACTTCACTTTAGGTTGCAAAGGATGTATCTGTAAGACTTCATCATGAGTTGGAAAATGTGGAAGAAAAGAGAACAACAACAGAAGATGAAAATGAGAAACTGAGGCAACAGCTCATAGAAGTTGAAATTGCAAAGCAAGCTTTACAGAATGAACTGGAAAAAATGAAGGAGGTTAGTATTTGATTATCTTGTGGTCTCTTATTATTTTTAGTTCTGTAGAAAAGAATTCCAAGGACTAGTAAGATTTTTAAAGTAGTTTTTTTTATTACTACAATTGGTCATTCAGAGTCAGTATTGTAATAGACATTTTATTTTAGACTCATAAAGGAAGTATCAAGGAAAAAAATTCTGACCTGAGCTCTGCCTTGAACTTGATATACATGAGCTGTGAGTGATGATAGTGATATCTTATCCCTGTTTCATCGATTAGGTGGTCAGCAAAGTCATGATGTATTTTTGTGTAGAAAAACAAAGAAAAAATGTCATGACTTTTTCCAACAACCCACTAAATATATATTAATTAAATAAATTACATAGCACATCAAAGACAAAAGGGTATCAACGATATGAAAGAAGGAACTTTGCATTCGTTGAGAAGAGTTGTGTGACATTCCTATAGGGTTCATAGAGCCATAAATTTTAGATGGAAAAGGATGTATGGTCAATATAATTTAATCCAATCACTGCTTGGATTTGTTTTCCTCTAACAAAGCTCTACAGGTAGATGGTTTAATGCTTAAAATGATGCCAGTAACTAACATTGAAGATCTACAGTAGCCAGTTCTATCACATCATCGCTCCGTTTAAAAGTTTTCTTTGTTTTGGGAACCAGCAGTTAGCGTAATGGCTATGTCGCTGGACTCCCATGTAGTCGACCGCAGTTCGCGTCCCGGACCCGGTGGCTTAAAACTCACGCTGGGCGCGTGTGCGTGCGTGCCCAAGATCCCAAGAGGAGAATGGAGGAGAAGGGATTGCAGCGTGACCATCCCCTCTGGGGGGTGATTTCTCGCTTTCTGTTTCTATGTCTCTCTCTGTCTGTCTGGTGAGCGCACGCGCCCTATAGCGAAAAACCTCTCCAAAAAAAAGTTTTCTTTGTTTTGAGTTGAAATCTACTCATTTGTAATGTTGGCCAATTCATCCTAGTTCTACCCTTTATAATAGGAGAGTCAAAAGTTCTCTTTCAGGCCAGCTGTTTGAAGATTTCTGCATTATTTATCTTGAATTTTCTCCAACAAAATCAGGATCTAAAGCAATAATTGGAAGAGAACAGAAACAGAGATTTATCAATTTGTAATTAGCTTCATGATACACAGCAATGTATAGTTCAAATTCAAATTTTTTTATTTTTCAAAAATGGCCCAAGAGTTACAACTTGTGGACTACTACTGAGAATTGGGAAATACACAAGTAGTCTTCCTAATAATTGTCTCTGCTTGGATATGCAGATTATTCTCAAGAGCTCTTGCTGCTTTATGAATTTTATTATGAAATCCTGGACATTGTCATTTAAAGAGCTGCTAAGTTTTTTATTTTTTTTTCTCTAAAGTTAAGAAATCCAATATGAAATCCCTATAGATACATGTTTCTTCATCAACAAAGAACAGTTGAAGTGTATCAAAAATTGAAACTTTTGTTTCTGGGAGAAAAAGTAGGGAGCAATGTTAGTTGAGTAGGGCTGCTTTGAAAAGTACCAAACACTGAGTGGCTTAAACTACAAAAATTTATTTTCTCATAGTTTTGGAAGCTAGAAGTCCAAAATCAAAGTGTTGACTGGGTTGGTACCTATAGAGGACTGTGAGGGAAGAATCTATCCTTGGCTGTAGACAGCCATCTTCTTGTTCACATGGCATTTTCTCTGCACCTGTTTCCAAAGTTCTGTCTCCAAATAAAATCACATTCTGAGGTACTGGGGGTGAGGGTATAAACATATGAATTTATTGAGTAGGGGAAGAGGAGAACACAACTCAACCCATGGCTTCAAATGGGCAAGCAAAGAGAGAGTTCATACTCAGTGGCATTAGACTCTGGTTCTCTGTTCATACATCACCTGTGTTCTCACATTGTTTATGCAGTTAAGACATTCAGGTAAAAACAAACTCCAATTGATTACCAAAGATAAAAGAGAAATACCTTATACTTAGGTGTCATGTGTATGTTTTTCAAGGGCTTATCTGTAAATTTGTATTTAAAAGTGGTATACAAGGGAACCAGCAGTTAGCGTAATGGCTATGTCGCTGGACTCCCACGTAGTCGACCGCGGTTCGTGTCCCGGACCCGGTGGCTTAAAACTCACGCCAGGCGCGTGTGCATGCGTGCCCAAGATCCCGAGAAGAGAATGGAGGAGAAGGGATTGCGGCGTGACCATCCCCCCTGGGGGGTGATTTGTCGCTTTCTGTCTCTATGTCTCTCTCTGTCTGTCTGGCGAGCGCATGCGCCCTACAGTGAAAATCTCTCCAAAAAAAAAAAAAAAAAAGTGGTATACGAGATGGGATATAGTGGTTACGTTGCTGGACTCACACTTAACTGACCACAGTTTGAGTCCCAGACTTGGTGGCTTGAAACTCATGCTGGGCACATATGTGTGTGTGCCCAAGATCCCGGGGAGAGAATGAAGGAGAAGGGATTACAGAGTGGCCATCCCCCAGGGACTGCAGGGTGATTTCTCACTTTCCCTCTCACTGTCTCTGTCTCTCTCTCTCTCCTCTCACTGTCGCTGTCTCGCTCTCTCTCTGGTGAGTGCATGTGCCCTACAGCAAAAACTTCTTAAAAAAAAAAAAAACATATGAGATTTCTGACTTCCACCCTATGTCTAGGAAAGGGAAAAATGCTTATAAACTTTTCAGTAGCCAGACAGATGGAACCTCTCCCAACAAGCCAGGATAATGTGGCTACCAACAGGAATGCTTGGAACTTAGGAATGTCCTCAGGTGAATAAGTATAAAACTGCATTTCGTTGATTCTGTTTCCCACGCTATTTCCTATGACTACTTCCTCCTTCCGAGCTTAGACTGTGGATTGGAAAAATTGCTATTGCAGTACAGAGTAGTGATATATGTACAGCCCAGAGAGGCAATTCACATTCTCTCTGGAATTACAAAAGTCCAACTCGGGACCAGCAGTTAGCATAATGGCTATGTCGCTGGACTCCCACGTAGTCGACCGTCGTTCGCGTCCCGGACCCGGTGGCTTAAACTCACACCGGGTGCATGTGCGTGCATGCCCAAGACCCCAAGAGGAGAATGGAGAAGAGATTGCAGCGTGGCCATCCCCCCTGGGGGGTGATTTCTCACTTTCTGTCTCTCTGTCTCTGTCTGTCTGGTGAGCGCACACGCCCTATAGCAAAAACCTCTCCAAAAAAAAGGAAAAAAAAGAGAAAAAGCCCAACTCCAACCCCTGATGAGGGAGATAACAATAGTATAAAGGATGTAGGAAGATGTAGACAAGATAGCAGGTTTTGTTTTGTTTTGTTTTTGCCAGAGGGACTTGTGCTCTCAACAGGGGGTCAGGAGGAGGAAGAGGAGAGAGAGAGAGACAGAAAATGAAAAAGCATATTCAAAGGGGGATGGTCACACTACAATCTCTTTTTCTCCATTTCTCCGTTCTTTCTAGGTTTTGGGTATGCGTGGTGCCTGGCATGTTTGTCAAACTGCTGGTCTGGGACTTGCGCTGTGCAGTCAGCCTTATAGGATCCAGCTGCCTTAACATACCACCAGTTGGCCCAGACATCAGCCTTTAAAGTTGCTTTTTTATTCAGAGAAATAGCATTCATGGTTTGAGAAGATAAGTGGTGAAAGGGAAGAGAAGTAGTAGAGAGGAAAGGAAGGAGTGGAAGATAAATATCTGAGGGATACTAAATGTGATAAAGGGACAATGAGAAACATTCTGGCAAGAGTGTTCCATAATCATCCATTTGAAGTTGACCTTATAGTGTTTAGAAAAAAGTCAGAAATAGAAAAAGCAATTTAAAAATCTGTGCAGAAATAAATGTTTCATTCAAATGAGTTTTTGCAATAGTAATTTTGTTATCGTTCAAGAAGATAAAGCTTCAAACTGAGCTGCAATAACTGGCTTACTTTGTGGGGTAGGAATTGTAAGTTTGCCCTCGGATGACTTGCAACAGCTTCAATTAACCGTCTGCTTTCTTGGCTGTAAAATGAAAACAGATTCAAGTCCTCGATGAGGGTTAACCACATGTACTGCCATCTCTTTGGGTCATTCGACCAATGATGAAAAATAGAATCAGGCCAAGCTCTTTATTATGAAGAAAGATACTAGTTACAGAGTAAAATCATAAAATGTTAAATCGAATATACCAGAGAACAGCAATTCTCCAATTTCAAGATTTTAGCCTCTTATGTGGAGTCATATAAATGTTGAACAGCACTATTGGGGTAAATAAACCATCTGCTTGAGTTTGGAACCATTTACTAAGGGTCTAACTAGCTTCAAGGGTATTAACCGATTGCTCTCAGAGCTAGGGGCTGCTCAAGGTCCTATGTAACTTCTCACATCCATCTGCTTATCTTCTCCCCCTGAGAGGTTGGAGTAGGCACCTGGGAGTATGAAGAATGGAGTAGAGGCAGGATGGAGGTAATTAGTTTGAGGCTAGTGCAACTCATTGCTTGTACTGAAAGAGCTGATATTCTGCCAACTGCAAACAAGAGGGACCTCTTAGAATGCTGCCTTCAAATCTTAATAGCATCCTGATCCCAATTATAAAGCATTGATTTCGACCAGCAGCATGCACACTTGCTGTTGAAAATGTCTTTACCTTTAGGTGACCTGGGAAAAATGATGGTTTATCTTTCAGCATCATGAGTGATTAGAGAGACAGAGGTTTTGTAAAATTATTTCATGGAAACCACAGTCAGCTCATTGAACGCCAGGATGGGTTCATGAAGAAACAGGGTAAAGTGAGGTTAAAGGGGAGGCTCCATGCAACATATTCTTTGAGAAGAGTGTGCTTTTTCTCTAGGGAAATTGAGAGTCACTGCCCTTATGAAATTCTGCTAGGGAGGGAATTTTATTTTCAGATCGTTTGAAACTGTTTTTCAGGAGGGAGAGGTCTTCTCTTGTTACTTGGGGCCTTGCAGAAGCATTGGTAACAGATATTTAAATAAGAAATCACCAGTGAGAGCCTTGAACATGGAAAGGGAAGCAAGAATAACTGA